AAATTTAAAACATAATGAGTTCCTCAGGAGTCAGTACTCGCTCCGCTTTTATACATCATACATACACACGACATTCCTAACAGCGCCAGAACTATTATAGCGACTTACACAGACGATCCAGCTATTCTAACAATAAATAAAAACCGAACACGCCTCACAGATTATAGAACATCATCTAACAAAACTAAACGATTGGTGCAAACTCTGGAAAATTCGACTAAACCAAGACAAATCACAACACAACAATTTCACTCTTTGACATGGAACATACCCTCCTATTTTATTTACCTTGACAATGCCGAAATTCCTCAAACAGAGAAAATACAATATCTTGAACTGACATTCGACAGAATGACATGTGGCCCATATATCAACAAAAAAAGAAAAACTTTAAACCTCAGATTACGTCTATTATACTCACATCTCCCAAGGCGGTCAAAATTAAACTTATAACAAAAACTGAACATTTACAATTATCTACTTAAGCCCATATGGCCATACCTACGCTTCACAAATTTACGGAACAACCAAAACGACTCACATAAAAAAACTACAAACTTTTCGGCCCAAAACTTTCAGGACTATATCCAAAGCTCCATGATACGTCACAAACATCACATTACACAAAAACCTTCAAATGCCAACAGTGCAACAAATGGACACACTACAAGCGATTTCACAATAACTTACATGGACATACTAACACACTTATACAACGTATGGCTACATTTACCATGCCCGAAAACACACTTAGGAGGCTCAAAAGAAGCTAGATGAGGGATTTCTTCGCTTGAAAATATTCTAAAATCAAGATAGGAAGGGATGCCGCTGGGCACTCCTCTCCATCACGCCGATCAAGTCACTTCCTGTACTCTTACTGACAGCAGACCCTCTAATTGTCTTTGCTTAAGACATATGTGGGTGAAGAAATGATGTTAAAAAAAAATATATATAAATATAATAATAATTTCAGTGGTATGTTTTTTGCTTTCGTCTTGTTTACGGGTTTGATAATTTTCATTTAAAATTCATAATTCCATCGAAATGTGCTTCCCTCAAAAATTTAAAACCCCGTCAAAATGTACCCCCTAAAAATTTTTGATGGCACAGCTTGCGCCATGAAACCTCCTTCTGGGCATCCCTGAGGCACGAAGTTTATCAAATAAGGTGTTTTTTTTTTTTTTAGTTTCATTATGGAATTGTTGAAGTCTCTTGCTTGTATTTTCTGAAATGTGGGACAGTAGCGGAGCACCATAGAGAAGAGAAGGATGAAAAATGTTAATGTAGTTGAGTAATTTTAATCTGAGGCTTAGATTTGGGATTGTGAGGAGGTGACTGATTTTGCAGGATTTTTGTCACACTTTTGATAATTTTGAAGTGCAATGAGCGGTAAATTTTAGATGTCTGTCAGGTTTAACACCGAGATATCCAAATTACTTGATATTTTTTAGTATCACCAACTGGAAGTTATTTAGATATTTTTTTTCTTATTTTTTTATACGAAAAGATTATACAGTTATCGTGGCGAAATTGATAAAACATTTTTAGATTTTAGAATTTAGAAAAACATTTTTAAATTAAATTTATTTTTCTTTGTATGTTCCTTAGGTATGAGAAAATAAGAATTGATTTTCTTATTAATTTTTCACATCCTTGGCACCACGTTAAAAAAATCTGTGCGCGCACAGACACAACTTTCACTTACCACTCTATTTTGAAGAGAAATTATTTTCTAGCAATGTTGCACTATCATAAAATTCATGAAGTGCATTTAAAACGGAGCAAAAGCTTAAAGCTTACTGATAACAAATCATTAAAACAACAAAAAATCCTTTTATTACTTCGTCGGTAGGCAATAAAAATCTAGTTCCTCCATCTGATTTTATTAACCACACAACTTCAGTCTCTGAGCCTTTCAGTTGACATAATGACTAACTACTATTTCAACATTTTTGAATAATGTCATTTCAGTGATATCTCTAGTTGAAAAGTTCTATTTATACAGACACTTAGTAAGTTGATTCCAGAGTAGGTGGTTGCAGTGTTGAAATATAAAACTGTGAATAAAGGTATAAATTTTGCCATTAGAACCATCACTAAAATTAATAAAAGAATTTTGAAATTGTAGTTAGTCTTTCTATCAACCGAAACGATCTTATAAGTCTAGAGAGATTTGAAAATACGTCTGATTATTTAACCTATAAATGATTATGGATTGTAGGACTATTAGTTGTAAACTATTATTTTTCATTCTCTGCCTTGAATAGGTCAAAAGTTGTCACACTAATTATAAGTGGACAATGTTGAGATTTCACAAAGAGAAAATTCATCCAATTATTCACTAATTTAATTTTCTACAAGGTTACTTGATGATTTTTTGGAATGAACGACCAATAGATACCTGATTATTTAAATACAATATCATCTCTAGAATTATCTATTATAATTATTTGAATTGCACCATATTAAAGGTATTTTAGAGGAAGACGTATATGAACATTGGACATTTAAGCTCTGTAAAGTGACATCAACAGGGATAAGACCTGAATGATATTAAATACCACTTAATTATACAATGACACACCGAGTTTAATCAAAATCATTAGAGTTGTTTTTGAGGAAATTGTAAATATGTGTTTCACCGTTGATATAGTGTCCCTTAAGTTTAGCCGATTTAAAGAAAAAGTTATTATCAAATCTAAGGCATATACCTATCTTAAATACAGAATATCAGTTTCGTACGATTTTTGTTTTTGAGCTAGATTTACCACATACATAAACAGACACACAGACCATTTTGCGGGATTTGGTTATTTGGATTCAGGAGATCTCAAAAGGTGTATTTCCGTTGAAAACTCAGATTCGAAAATTCTCACGATCGCAATACTTACCCTTACTACACATTTCATGTATAGGTAAGTGCAAGTAAAAATGTCTCTCCGCCGTCCGTCATCCGTGCATTTTTTCTAAGATTACTGGACCGATTTTGTTCAAATTTGAAATAAAAGTCAGAGGTCCCCCGTGGATGATCTTCCTACCTTGACATTACTATCCGCCCTTTCCTTTCAAGATGGCGGCTTAAAAACCTGTTGCTATAGACTTTACTGTAGACGCCTAAACGAACGTACAGATTTCAATGAAACTTGGCTAAAGTCTTCTCCTCGATGCCCTTTAAATATATCTATAGAACATACTTAACCGAAGCATACTTTCCTTTCAAGCTGGCGGGCGTATTTCGTATAAACTAGCGCCCGAGCGGATGTACCGATTTCAAAGAAACTTGGATAAAGTCTTTTCTTTCGAAACCCTTAAATTTTATCTAATTATGTAACATAAATCAACGAAAGGGAGCTGAAAAAAATGTTACGAGGAGTCGTAAAATTAGATTTTCGATAACTCAAATAGTACACACTTTTTTGTTGCTGTTGTTATCATCATTTAAAAGTTTACTTAATTTCCTAAAATATTTAAAAAAAAATTGAAATAGGACCATTTCGTGCAAAGATATGTTCATAAAAATATTTTTGATATGTTCTATTGCTAAGATTATTTCCTTTGTTTTGGTTTTTAATATGCTGCAAGTGTTATATCAACTGAAGCAATGTGTTTTAAAATTGTAAAAAAATGTTTCACCGTTGATATAAACTGGCACTTCCGGTTAGTCTATCTTAACGAAAAGGTTGCTACCATACTAGAACTATATAATAATTTGAATAGGTAATTTAATTTTCGTAAGACTATTTGTTTTTGAGCTAGGCTGTTCACATATACACAGACACGCAGAACATTTTTCGGGACTTGGTTATTTGGACTCAAGGGATCTCAAAACGTGTATTTCCGTTGAAAACTCAGACCCGAAAGTTTTCACGATCGTAATACTTACCCTTACCATATATTACATATATAGGTAAGTGAAAGTAAAAAAGTATTTAAAATCCACCGAATGGCCGAATGGCATTGGCACATTGTTTAAAATACTATTTAATTGTACTTGTGTGAAAGAACAAGTGAAATATAAAAATATTTCATGGATATGTTTATAACCTTAAATACTTTTGCTGTAGTTTGATAACTCTAGAGTTGATATTATATTTAAATAATTACTTGCCTTATATGTCCTAGCAACTTTTTGCTAACCGGAAGTGCCACTTTATATCAACGCTGAAACACATTTTTAGAATTTTCTCAAAAACGGCTTTAACTTTTTTGATTAAACACGTTGTATCATTGTATAATTATGTGGTCTTTAATATCATTTAGGTCCGTTGATGTCACTTTACTGCTTATGTCACTTTACGTATGTCACTTAAATGCCCAATGTTCATATACGCCTTCCTCTAAAGTACCTTTAATATGGTTTATTTCAAATTATTAACTATTCTCATTATTAAAAAATACGAAAAATGCTAAATGTAACTTTTGAAAGAATTTGATAATTGCATAAAGGAGAAAAATATAAAAATCCTGATTCAGATCGAAAATGAATCGCCGGAAAAATTAGGCAGATGGGATAGATATAATATATCGTTGGAAAGCGGAGAATTTTGAGCCAAATCGAACATTTGGTTTAAGAGATATAGACATATAAAAAAAAACAAAAAAAAAAACACGTTTGCTCATATATACGAGGAATTAGTGGACAGAATTCAATAAAATTGACATTGCGTTATTTTTTCACGAATACGTACCTTTTATCCAATTTTGAGACAAATCTAACTAGCCATTTCTGAAATAGTGACATATCTACAAAAATGCGTTTGCGCGTGCGTAAGCGGAAGTGCTGGTTAGAATTTAATAAAATTGATATGGGACCATCTAGACACCGAAAAAACTAGCACCGAATTTCCATATCTCAAAATGAATATTTATGTAATTGCTAAGTTAGTGAAACGTTCGATAAAAATTAATAGGTAGTTTTCCTGGTTTTAAAATACTTTATTCAGAACGCAATAACTATTTAATTAAAAAAATATTTGTTATCATTACTTAATAACATTTACCTTTCACAGGAATCAGGTAACTCATCGAATTGAAGTGGTTCTGTAAGTATCACAGCAGAGAAGAGCACTAGTAACAATTTAACAATCATTTTGGAGTAATAAATAAGCTTTTTAGTGCTCTAGCATTTTTATATATACCGTCGAACCTTATCGGAATGAGATAACCAGCTCAAGAGTAACAACCTAATGCTAATTTGTAATTTAGATACATTTTATTTAACGTAGAGAACAATCGTTTAAGTGATTATGTCCGACGACTCCATTTATTCATCTCATTAAGTTGATAATTACTTCTGAATGGAAAGATAATGATTTCGGACTTGTCGGCTACACGAATAGTACTAGTTTACCGATGCCTACTTAATAATTAATTAGTCATCAGAAGATACTTATTTTCCGGACAAGGTATAAACCTTTGAAAGACAATAAAAATATCAAAACATGAAAACAACTGTGAAGAAAAATAAAATACAAAAAAAAATTAGTTCGTAAAATAATTGTAAGTTTTTTTATTACCTCGAAGAGGGTTAGATAAAATTAATTAATTAGTATTAGTTTATAATAAGTCTTAGTTTTAAGTATTCATTTATTTTGGATTGGAATAACCAATAGATGATTGGGAGAAAAACAAAAGAGAGTTTAGAGAGAGATGCTGGAACCTCGCGAGTAGAGGCACGCTAAGAATTTTTGTGAGTGAAATATTTTAATTTTACGGTGTACACTGGATTTTCTTTTCCTATCCATGAACCTGTGATTATCAGCGACGAGTGCCGCTTGATTTTACAAGTTGGTGAATGAACATTTTCACAGTTTAAAGAGGTGGACTGGGGAGACACTGACGACGCTAGCTGGAATAAGTTCCCGCTTCCTCAGATAACTCAATGTGCCAACTGGACAAAGTTCGGCATTGAGATTTTGTAAATATGTACATATAAGTTTTTGCCTATCTATTTTTATTTCCAAATGTTTGTAATTGGTATATTGTATAGTTGTAGGTTAATGTTTAGTTTTATAATAATTTTACATTAGTTTCTTTGATAATTAAAGTTAATTGTATTTTCTTTGTTTTCTTATGAATCTAATTTCTTGTTCATAATTTTCATTTCCTTAAACAGTTATTTAAATCAATAGAAATAAGTAAATTCATCATTAGTATTAATAATAGCCAGTTTTATTTTCTTCTTTTTCTTAAGTTTGTTTTCACGTTTTATGTATATATTATATTGTTTTTTTTTTTTTAGGTTTGATAAGGAATTGTAAAACCCTTTTCGATGGATTAGGGAAAGTCATTATTAACCAAGTAAGAAGGTTCGATAGGTTATGAGATTAATTAAAATACGTTTTTCAACCCATAGGTTTCGAGTTCGTAGCTCACTCCGCGTCCTTATTTTTTTAAATTTATTTATTTTTTTTTTTTTTTGTTTTCGCCATTTTCCAAATTGAACCAATTAAATAGCGTGGCGCTTGTTAGATAGTTAGTAATATTTAATTGACTCTTCATTAATTCTCTTTCTTTTTTTTGCGAACCCTGCCGTCTCCACTGAGCATCCGGCAAGTTTGTTGCGAAAACAATTTTTCCACATTAAAGACCGTAACAAAACGCCTGCCAACTAAGGTCAGTATAACTTCCTCGCCGTTTTCATTGGCTGAAGTATTAAAATATTATAAGGTATACAATTTTTCTTATGAGAATAAAATCTCTGGAAGAAGCCAATTCGGAATTACAGTTACCCTTCAATATTCACGGATTGAAATCCAAGAATTTCGCTTATCAGCTAATATTATAATGCGAATATTAATAATAATGCGAAAGAATGCCGTATTTGAAAATTCCATATTAGATTATCCTTAATTAAAAAATAAAATGCATACAGAACATGCATTTCACTACTGTTAGTACAAAAGGTCGTATGTAAAAATTGATTATTTTGCAAGAGTGAAAACTCATTATTTCTTTATGCTTTATTGGTATAATTTCATATTTTATTGTCATCTGCTATTTTCCATAGTAGCAGACTACTTATATCAGTTGCATACTACAAAATGTCACCTTTAACACAAATATAATACAAGTTGAAAAATTTTACATACGATCTTTTGCACTAATAGTAGTGATATATACTTAATCGTAAAATGGATGGAACTAGAAAATACATGGGAAAAATTCAACTTGTTTGCTCGAAGTTAACGAGACCAATACTTTCCTTCAGTCAGAACAAAACGCTTTAAGCTAGAAAATATAAAAATATGGGTGAAGCTCACATAACTTTAATATTTAATGAGGAAATCGAAACCAAGAGGAACTGGTTATACACCAATGATAACAAACACAATCACGGATAAGAAGTTGTTTTTTTTACAAACTTATAAAGTATAAATTAATTTAAATGTATTGAAAACTACACGAAATCTAAGTAACGACATTAAGTGTCATGCCAATAACGTTTGGAATCGACCAAACAATATAGTATCAAATAATTTTTTTAATAAAACCTAAAATGTTATTTGCCTATACACTATAAGTGCCTATTACTATAACAATATTGTAGTAACCTCCCCCTCCATATGATCAGTGCCTTCAACATTTCGCAGCCATTATATTGTTAATAATTATTTATATTAATTTTAATTATTAAATGGAATGGAACGAAATTGATACTAAGTAATTTCTATACTGTTCTCCAAATTTCCTCCAAGTTTCGGTCAAATCGAATGCGCCGTTTTCAAACTATAGGCATATCAAATAACACATTTCCTGATCTGAAAGCGGGAGTATTTTTATTTTTGGAGTAGTAGATAGAATTTGATAAAATTGATGCCTATTTCATTTTACGTTTACCAAATTCCCTCCAAATTTGAGCCAAATCTAACTTGTGGTTTTAGAGATATAGATGTATCAAATAAAACACGTTTGCCCATATATAAGAGAAAGCAACGAACAGAATTCAACAAAATTGACATTGCGTTATTTTTTCATGAATACGTACCTTTTATCCAATGCGTTTGCGCGTGCGTAAGCAGAAGTACTGGTTAGAATGTAATAAAATTGATATGGGACCATCTAGGCACCAACCCGCCCAATTCCTAAAAATTTCATGAAAATTAGATAAACGGTACTAGGTAATATGCCCGTCACATCGATTTGACTACAGACAGACAGACAGTCACCGAACCAAATTTGATCCTTGATGTCTGAATCGTAAAACGTGAGTGGAAAATTTCGATTCTGAGCACAATTTTTTTAAACCTCTCGCACGAATACAATGTTTTCCTACCTTCGGTAGTGAGGAAGCAAAAAAACATCCATAGTGTGGTAAGCAAGAAAAAGGTTATTCCACAATGTTGGTCACTAACATGTTGTAGAGAAAAATAAAATACTATAAAGCAATTAATTTTTACTTTCACTTACCTGTACATACTTTTTTTTTGTACTTGCCTTTCTCGCATTTTATGCTATACTTGATTTTCCAGGGCCAGAGTAAATAATAGTGGCAACAAAGTAGCAACTAATAAAATAAACATAATCAAAATAAGGTAACATAAGAAATGAAAAATGAATTATCAAATAAAAGTAGTGGAGTGTATAAGATAATAAACGTAAGTGTAGACAAAAAAATAAATAAATGGGATGACATAGCTGCTAAAATATTATATAATAGTGTGCTAAAAGGAAGTAAGATATTCATAGAATAAAATATAATGTAGAAAACAGAGAAAAGGAATGTGAAGTTATATAAGGAAATAATAGATACAGAAATTTGAGATATTGTACAATCTATCAAAATACGTACGTCTGTATCCACGTCAGTATACAATCAATCTGTCTACTTAGAATAAAAAGTTAAAATAATGTAAAAAAGATGAATGAGCAAATGTATTTATCTCATGTGTGTATTTATTTATGTATTATGTACGTATTTATCTTGTTTACATTATTTTAACTTTTTATTCTCTTATACGTAGTCAGTATGTTTTGAGATATTTTAGTATTTGAGTATGAGATATTTTACAATATCTCAATTTTCTATATCTATTATTTATTTATTTAACTTCATATTCATTTTCTCTGTTTTACATTTTATTCTATGATTATCTCAATTCTTTTTAGCTCACTATCACCACATCCCCACATATCCTCATCCCCACATATATTATTACAGTAAGGCTCGAAATCGGTTTTGTACCAAATATAAGCTCCTGTTATGCTCAAATATCATGAATGGGGTACCGTTGGATTCAGAATTTCAAGGGAGGTTAGCGAATCGTACTCTCCGCTTTTGTTTTTCTTTCTAAAATAAATAATTTCGAAACAAACATTTCGGCTTCAGCACTGGAACGGTGATAAGTCTGTAGATCGATACGGGACAAATTGGACCTTGAAGATTTTGATGCGTGCAGCAAGACCCGGTTTGTTCCTCCGGAACTATCGGATACTGCCTTTTTAAGCCCCAAAACGTACTATTTTCGAGATAACCCAAGGCATAGGGTTCGCATCCACACAACCTTACATTAATTGTAGTACTGCCATTGAATAAATGTCTCATTTCGTCGGCTTGAGGTCTCTATGACCGAGAGAGGAGGAGTTTATATTATTTATCGAAGGCGTTTTTTGTCGGCAAGTCACATCATCGTTAATTCTTCACCAAATCTCAAGATTGAGCCAACAATTTCGAAGGCTTCCTTCTCATTCAGGCGGCCAAAATAGTTCTATCAAACGGAAAATTCAGGTGAAAAAGTTATTAAGGAAAAGAAACTTTATTTGCGAATAACTAAAAAATTACACTCTTTTCCCTTGCGTCCATTATTATATAAAAGATTACTGAATTTCCTACAAGAAGGAAAAAAAATAATTGAAATCGGATAATTTCTAGCAAAGATACAGCTTGTTGAAATTTTTAAATATGGTGGTTCCAACATTTGAAGTTTTAAATTAATTTTTGTTTCTTTATTCGTATTATACTTATCGATAAAGTAATAATTGATTTATTTATCTTATCATAAGTTGCATTTTTTTATTTTCTTATTAATTTTGCATTTGTTTGCTTAACAATATGCTATGCGAATTTTTTGCACGGGCCTGCTAGTTACATAATGTTTTAGCAACTGTCACCCCATTTATTTATTTTTTGCCTACACTTACGTTTATTATCTTATACATTCCATTACTTT